GTTTAAAAGATCTCTAATTGCTACATATATTCAGAAAACTAGAAGACTAGATAGCTCATGGGATAGGAGAATGGAATACCAACCATTTTTTCTTTAGATCAGGTGCTCAGACTCAGTTGTCAAAAACAGTGCTTGAGTATCATTGCTATTCAGAGGCAATTTTGGTTTGTATCTATATGCCTATCTCCTGCACAAACAGGGTAGTGTGACCTCTTCTGGGCTCTTCCTTCAACAATGCATTGTTGGAAAAATTATCTAACTCCATTAGTGCAGCAAGGATTGTCAAATCTTGGACAGAATTTCAAGTGAAATACTATATACTTTCTGCTTGAGCTTCTGTTGATCAGTTGTAGAAACAATTGAGGTGTCTAGTGTCTGAAGCACAGAACAGTCACAACATGAACATGCCTTTTCATAGCCTTAGTCTCTTCTCCATACTTTGACACTTGGACTTTTCTCTACAGCATGTACCAGAGAGTTGTCACACCATGATGTCCCTTTCATGGGGAAATCTCTACCTCCTCTCCTTCTTTAGGTTTCTTCTCCTGCTTCTTTTTCCCCATGGTCTTTTTGGGTGTTTTGTGGCTCTTCCCCAACCGCCCTACCCGCCTCTCTGGTATTCTGCATGGCGTGTATGTTAGTTGGCATTTTCTGTAAGCGGTGCAGCTTTAAATGAGATGTAAAGTCCAGGCCTCACTAAAAGCAACAAGACACTCAAACCCTAGCCAGTAATATTTGGTGGTTTAGCGACTCAAAAGCTAGTATTTCATTACAGTGTTGTTTGTAAGCACAGTAACAACTGTGTAGTGAACTGTCTGAAATTCCATTACAGTTCTACTGAAGAGTAGGTGGAAATGAAAATTAACTATTCATAAATGAAAACTTTTACAACTTTTGTTGGCAGTTAAGTTACCTTTGGTGGCTGAACCTTCTCCCACATGGCTGCTGTAAGGCAAAAATCTGTTCAGGCCTGAGCACAGGACATCACTTTTCTAGTTGATCTGTATACCTTAATTAAAAGCTAGAGCTTTGTCTTCTGCTCTGTGTCCCAGCCGGGCTGTAGGAGTAATGTTCTCTGTTTGCTACAGGTGTGACTCGAGCAGTGGCTTCTTTCCTAATCTTTAGGTCAGAAGTTGTCAGGTTACTACAGAATAAAACAAGGGTTCACCAAAGCTTGATGTAGAAATGACAGTGATGCAAACAGGTTGGGCAGGGACTGGAGAAAAGAGCCCATTGCAGGCAGGGATGGGTCATTATGCTTGTTATTTCACTTACAATCTCAAGTCTGCTAGATTTTGCCATGTTAAAAATCACATACTTGAGCTGTTTTCTCCCTCTGCTTTCTAATAAGGCCAGGTCAAAAAGTACAGTATAAAGCTACCTGCATTTCCTATTTTCTGAATATTCTACTGTATTTAGCAAAAGTTTTTAAAATGGTGTTTAAAAATCCTTCCCTGATATCTTGAGCAATTTCTGTAATCATGGAAGACTTCTGAAAATCTTTCCATGTGGAAAATCTTGAACCAGTATCAAGGAAATGGACATATGTCCTTGTGCACAGGGAACCCGAGCTTTGAATATTTAACTTAATATTTAGTTGTTATGGTCTGTATGGTACAGCTAATTGTACATAAGGTAAAAAATTAAATGCGGCTATGAGATTTTTTTCCACACCACAGCAAGCTATCCTTCCACTTTTTCAGGGATGTGTAACTACGGCATAAGGTTTAATCGTGACCATTAATGCTTAAGCAATTTCATATCTACAAGAAAAGGCAATTTGCTTGTGGCTTTGAATTCCCAGATTCTTAGAAGAAAATATATCTATTTATTTTCCTAGCATATTGAGCTACCAGAAAAGGAAAGGAGGTGGTTTTAGGACAATTAAGAATTGTTTGAAAAAGGGGACTGCCGTACTAATTACCTTTAGCTGTTTGGATGCAATAAAAAGAATATAAAGTCATAAGTATTTCCTAGCAGTAAAAGAGCTCATATTAGAAGAAAAAGCACCAATTACCCCATTGACTGGCAAAGCTCACCCAGCTGCACAGAGTGAATTTGAAACCTGTGATTCTTTCCAAGGTGAAGATGGTGACAAAATCATTAGCCATTCTCAGTACACATCTATCTTAATTAAAACCTACACCCCTGTGATGATGACATAGGCAGCCCAGCTTCTCCAGACACTTGCAGCTGGCATTGGCATCAATCTTCTTGACAAAAGCACTTCCTGAGAGCATGTGCTATAATGGTTTTTTGTCTCCCATGCTGGGCTTTGAAGCAAAAGCATTCCTGTGGGCTCTGGTAGCCCTCGGCATCAGCAGCTTAGCACTGCCCCTAAACCACCTGTGCGTTTGCCAAGGGGCATGATGTAATATGAGCTAACCTTAGGCTTTCTTTTTCCTTTTCTGCTATTAAACTAGCAATAAGCATTACGATAATCAGGTCAACTTAAAATATACCTTCATGACTGCAAAGCATCTCCACCACAACTAGTCACAGGAACAAGACTTTGGGGAGTCACACTTGGGAGTTTTTCCTTGTGCCACCTGATTTCACTGATACAATTGATGAGCAGCTGGCAAATTTAGAAGAATGAGCCCAATAGAGAACTGTGGCCATAATGCATTGATCTCAAGCAGCTGGGCATTAAATGGTGTTTAAGTAGTTAAAGGAAATGTATGTTAACTTATAAAAAAGTAGATACGACTAGTCCCAAACACATGTGGAGTTACTGTAGGTAAATATTTTTGGAAATGATGTGCCAAGTGTTTACATTAATCAGCAAAGATACTTGCTTCTTAATTACACAGGTTTCTACTAAATGTTTTTAGATTCAAGTGTAGAAAATGAGCATGCCAGCTACTCCTTTAAAATTTAGTTCAACAGAAAATGGCTAAGAATTGCCTTACATACATATTTTTTTAAATACAACAAAACACTCCTCCTGAATTGGTAATTCACTAAATATAATTACAGTCACACAGAAAAATTAGACAAGTTTAAATGGAAATATTCTCTTTAAAGTCCCTTTATTAAAAAAAAAAGTTTGTGTACATACATAATAGTAATTTTTCAAATTCCATAACTTCATTAGTTTAAAAGCAAAACCACACCTGTTCCCATACACCCAAATTGCTTAGATTGGACCATTTTATTTTAAATATTTTAAAGCTAATTCTGAAGGACACCACCCTCATAGGATCTAAGTGCAAAAGCGTAAGATTAAGTAAAGGCTTTTTTAAAGTCTGGCTATGAGAAAACTGATACTGACAATGACATATTAGTGTGTCAATGGTGAATAAATACAAGAACTTAAAATCTGAACCATCAGCAGTCTCATACATCATTCTTTTTTTTTTTTTTTGAAAGGATATAAAAGATTCAAATGCCAGAACTATAATGTCAGAACAGTTTATAATGTCAAGTGATGCATGTTGCATACTCTTAGTGTATTCCATTGATCAAACCAAAACCTGGGATAATAACTGCAGATGATGGAGCACACTTCTTGTGCAAATGGACATGGATTTGAAGAGAATTTGGAAGAAAAACATTTTCATGTTGAGTCCTAATAATTGTTCTGTTCAACCTGCACCGATCCATGCACAAATTATTTTGCCTAAAGCTGATGCTTCTAACAATAACTAATATTAGCGTGATGCCTGCAGGGCACTTTCAGCCAAGGAGAACTTAGGATATAATGCAGTAATTTGATAAAACTTGTTGCAGACTCGAGAGAGAATAAATGCCAACAGAACCAGAGAGAACTATAATTTTCCCTTTGCAGACAGTTCATGCAGTTCTGTTTCAGCTCTTAGAATTAATCTTGTTATTTATAAAGTAAGGCTGAGTTGTTTTTAGCCTAGTTTCCTAAGAAATTGAGGCATATGTGATCATGCCATCTGTGAATGCCTTCCCTGCACTCCTAACAGTGACTACACTCAGAGACAATTGAAACCCAGTTTGAAAGAAGGTAGAAGTCTCAAAGAGACTAAATTGCAAAAAGCTTTTGACCAGGTATCTGAGCAGGGCAAAGATACCTAAATTAATACTCCCTGTCAGGGAAAGGCAGGAAGAATTCAGCTGTTAAACAGTCTGGCAGAATCCAGCAGTCCTAACTAGTCACAATACCTCTTACCTTTTGTCTCATGCAGCCGTGGCAAAGAGCCCAGTGAAAACAAATTGTTTTGAAAAGGACACACAAGTTGAAGGACAGAAATCGCTGGGGAAACAGAGTGCGTACAAAATTATTTGGTTTTAGCTATTCTTTGAACTTCTAATTTTACTCCACAAAGATAACAAAATTTCATTCCAGTACTTCTATAAAAGGTTAATTTGAAAGACCAGTAGCTGAACCCTACTGAAACCATCAAAAAATCACATTATTGTAATTTACCGATGTAATAAAATCAAGAGTGGTAGACAGCTTGTTAAGAAGGATGCACATCTCAAGAATATTAAGCTGACTGTGGTGTTTCCCAAAGAACCTATTCCGATTTTGAGTACCTATTAGAGCAAATGTTAAGTTAATGCAATCCAGGCTTCGTTCTTAATTGGTCCGGATAGAACCCAGTCCCACCTAGAAGTTTATGTCCACACTTTAGATAGTAGGTTAAAGAGCGCACACTTAAAAGATGAAATTTATTAACTCCATGTCTTCTAGAAAGGTTGCATTTTGTGGTATTTTCATTGCGATATTGATTACTCTGAACAGTGCTCATAAAGACCGTGTAAATTGTTTGTACTCTATCAAGCAGGTTTTCTGCTCTGTGTGGGCAAATATATATTTGTGTTCTGTGTCTGCCACAGTGATTAGTGAGGGAAAGAATAAAGAAAAGAAAAGGAGAGGTATAGAGTCAAGAGTGAAAATTGTTCCTTCTGGAGCAGGCTGCTCGGTATTGCCTGGGCAGGCTTTGACAACATCAAGCTCTCTGAATGCATCAAATATTATCTTCCTTGAAATGATGCCACAGATGCCACATCTGTCACTGGATCCTTCAGATGCTGTGTCTCCTGCCACTCTGTATGACTTTGAGTACGTTGGAAAGGTCAAAACTTTTCGTAATCAGTTCCAGTAGGTCCTCGTCTCTTTCCACACCATTGATAAATTCTTCTAAAGTCAATTCCCCTGAAAGGAAATCAGGTACTCCTTAGGAACTAAGGAATGCAGCAATCACTCTCAGCCCAACACAAAACCATTCATGCCAGATTAAATCCTTCACGGAGGTTCCCTGTTCTCTGCTGATAGGCAAATGCAGGCAGAACATTTTCTAAAGTCTTCCCACTTTGCATCAGATCCTAGAACTCAGACTTGCTTTTTTTTTTTTTTTTCTTTTTCTGTTAAAAGAGATCAAGCACACCTTTCACAGAAGTCTAAGACAAGTAGGAGTACTCAGTATCTGTGGTGACAGAAATGGGTGAAAAAGGGCATTAATGAAGCCTGTACCAAGGCTGAATTTAGATGTTTGGACCACTTCTCACTGAGATAACTGGAATTTTTCTTACAGATGGTTTTAACAGATTAAGGCATGATTTACTGAGGATTAGCAGGCATACTCCCTATGTTGACTACTAGGATTATTTAGAGCCACAATAAGAAGATGTAAAAAAATTGGTTAAGTGGTTTGATTAGCTAAATTCCTCCAAGAAACTGAAATGGTCATTTAGAGCATGATTTTTTAGGCTCATGTCAAAATCAGGTAATACCTTGGAAGTTGCAAGACAACTATAAAATCTCTTTTGTTGAGGAGCAGGATTATAGTTTAGCATTTTTCCTCTTTTCCTGCTCTCTTCCCTATCAGCAAAGGCAAAGGCCAGCCCTAGGCAGGTGTCTGCTCACATGGTACACAAAAGTATACACAATTCTCTGGTTAGAAGTTGTCCCAGTGATACTGTTTTTCTCTGAAAGGGGAAACAGCTTAGTTTAATAGCAAGAGCTTGAATCTTTCCTTTGAGAACGGTATAAAGTTTCTTGTTAAAATCACAACAGTGAATGATTTCTTACTGAAACAAGAAATGACAAGAGGTCAGGCACAGAGGAAGATAGCTGGATGCCTTAGGGCCCCAGGGTGTAGGGGAGCAGCAATTCAAGTCATGAGCACTTTTGCAGAATTCTTAGCTAGATGACTTTTGGCTATTTTCAGATTTAAGTACTCCCCGGAGTTTTCTGTGTTTTGGTTTTTGTTCATGGCAACCTTGGAAACTTCATCTGTTGTAAAAAAGGAAAATGATCAGCATTTGAGAAATGTGAAAACCACTTTCTAATCATGGGTGGTGAAGGCTGCTTCCTCTTCAGTAACATGGGTCCTCACTGCACTGGTAAGCAGGCTCATATACATATTACAAGGGGTAATGGGATTAAATTGAAAGTGGGGAGGTTTAGATTAGATATCAGGAAGAAGTTCTTCACAGAGAGGGTGGTGAAGCACTGGAACAGGTTGCCCAGAGAAGCTGTGGATGCCCCATCCCTGGATGTCTTCAAGGCCAGGCTGGATGAGGCTTTGAGCAACCTGGTCTAGTGGAAGGTGTCCCTGCCCATGGCAGGGGGTTGGAACTAGATGATCTTTAAGGTCCCTTCCAACCCAAACCATTTTATGATTCTATGATTCTATTAAAGTGGAAAGATGTCATCTGACAGAAGTGCTGGTGCTGTGACAGAAGGCTTCAGTGAAAGATGTTTACACCTTTTCTGTCAACACCAGTGCCCTTAGATAATCATCCCAGGAGCAGAGACAGGACAAGCTGCCTCTGTATGCAGCCTCCTGCTTTGCTACTCATCCCCTCACTTCCTCTTACTTCCCATCTCCTTCGCTCTGTATTGCCTTTGACTGAGGTCTTTGATTGGATGGGGCTCCTGGACTCATCAGATGGACACACTGCATCATTTTCCTGCTTATGCAGGTCAACTGGTCTTGAATTTCCTCTTGATCCCAGGCTGTGTATTTCAAAGTACCAATGCTAGCATGGTACATAGAAAAACCGCTGCAGTTAGCAGTGAGATGTGGTTACACTGGCATACCCAGACTCACTGTGACCGTGGCGGGTCTCAGGTTCCCTTGAGCTAATGAAAATAAATTGCAAAGCCATTAGGAGAATTTTTTAAAGAACTGATCCCTACAACCATGGGGTTATTTCTTGTATTTTAACATAAGGAAGGACACTGCAAGTTCTTTGTCTGTCTGACCTTTTCTTTAATAAGAAGCTACAAGGAAGTAGCATAGTTAAAGCTAAACTTACTAAAATTTGTCCCATCCCTCAGGTGGACCTAGGCCTGCTGCTTTGCAGCTATTTAAAAAATAACTAACTATGGAAAGCAGTTTGAAATGGGAGCATTATGAAGATAATTCGGAACAATGCATCTTCTGGCATTTCACTGCTGAAATTATCTAAGATACAAAACTTATTTTTTCAGCTGATGGTTTAGCTCAGATACAATTATTGCTTGTAGTAAACATATGGTCAAAACAGGAGCCAAAGTATGAATAATCAGAATTCAGGTTAGATTCTAAAATATGTTATTTGGAACCCTTTGGTAATTTGCCTTCACCCAAAAGATGGGCCAAGCAGGTGGGGGAAAAATCCTCTATGAGTTACTCACATGCACCAGAAGATCACAGTTTATACTCTGATTATATATCACAAACAGCTTTTTCAAAAGTAATCTTAACATATACTAAATAAGACCAGAAAAATGAACTAAAAAATATTCAAAATTCCTGGCTGGGATACGATTTAGGTCTGCAATGCTTTCCTAATATTCCTAATCTGTCAATTATTGCAGTAACTGATGTAAAATGTTATTGCCAGTGGAAGAAGGCTCGTCATGGTTAGAAGTAGGAGGGAAGATGTTCACTGGTGATGGGTTTTCTACTAGAAACAACTCTGAAGAAGTAAACTAAAGTTTTAGTTTCCAAATGGAAGTCCAGTTGGCTTGATCTGCCTATCTTGAGAGGAAAAAAAACCAAAAACCGCCATTAGCTTGTGTTTTAGCCTGTGTTAACAATCAGCCTTCAAGGGACCTCCAATATGCTGTCCAGTCTTTGGAACTTGCTGGAGCCTGTGCAACCATGTATCTTAATGGGTTTTCTTATACATTTTAGATAGATTAAACCAACACAAATACACTGAAATATACCTCAATCACACTTCCATTTGGCTGTGCAACCAGAGTACTGGCATTTTGGATGAACAGTGCAAGACCTCCATCTTTTATTCCCTACTGCATGTAAGTCCTGTGTCAGCTTAATAGAGTCCATTGATTTGAACTTCACTGTAAAGCTGAAATAATATGGGTAAAGAAGAACAGATTCAGGTTTTCAGTTAATCTGAAACAGTCAGTTCTTCAACAGTGTGTTTAATTTTCCTCTTGATCCCATACTTCCTTATGGAGGAAAATCCCTGACAATGCCAAGAAAACCTAGATTCTTACCGTCATTGTTCACATCTATCTTCTCAAATATCATGTTTGTGAACTCTTCAGCAGACATGTTGGTGTGGCCATTAATAGCCTGGATAGCCTGAAGGCAGAAATGCAGAAAGCACTTTCAGAATTTTTTTCCAACAAATTGTGAAAATAATACACTGGCAAGTGCAGTAATCGTGATGCAGCTCCTTAGTTCACCAAGCCTTTCAAAAATAGCTAAATAAATAGCTATTTCAAGTAAATCTTCAGTAGTGAGGATTGGAAATTTAATTAACATAACACAGCCTAAAGATTACAGTCTAATTTACATATCTCTGGAGGTCTTCTGAAACCATGTGGCACCTCTCCTCTGCAATACACTTTAGATTCCACACCAGCATTTTTATCTTGCCCTAGAGAGTTCTGTGTCTTTGGAGAGTGCCCTATGGTCTGTGTGATTTAAATATAGTATTATTTTTCACAGCTGAAAGCACATGAGGAGAAAGCCCAAGCCATTTTTCTGTTTAGACATGTTTAACTTAGTAATCACAAATATAGTCAGACCAGCAGTCCTGGAAGTTGGAAGAATTTACTTGTCCTCCAAAGAAATTAAGAAAACCAGAAGTCTTCCCTCTACTTTTTCTGTGGCAAAGGGACCCAATATTTGGAGTAAAGATATACATGAATGTTTTTGCAAAATTGTATCTCATTCACTGAGACAGTAGCTTTTTTATTATGGTGATCATTTGGGTCAATAAAATAGGAGCCTATATACTAATAGCAGGTGGTCCAGATCAACAAGCATACCCTTACAGACATGGATGTGGTAACAGAATTAGTAAGTGACTGGTAAAATACATACATATATATGTATAAACATAAATGCATGTATGTTCTATACAGGCATACTATAGAATTTGTTATTCTGCACCTGAACTCTCTTGAGATGAACTGTGTTGTGTAAGATAATTCATTGTATGTTTCAGTTGTTCCCTTAAGTATTTCTGATATTATTTTAATGAAATATTATTATTTCATTATATTTTTAAAAAAACAATTTAGACCTATTCAGCACTGATGTGAAGTGCTTGACCATCAGTGTCTTTATCTCACTTTACACAAACAAGTTCAAAAAAAGCAGCAAGAATTTTATAAAAATAGGTACATAAACTTGTGTGTATTACTAATTCATACGTTAGATAATTCCGGTGTTTTATATGTCTGACCCTGATGTAGTCTTCAGAAGAAGGTTGTACCTCAGCCACAGTTAAATTTGTTGTAGTGCTAAGAATAAAGCAATGGTTCCTGAAGCGCTTGAATCACTGACTACCACAGAATCATCTTAAAAAATAAAATAAAATAAATTAAAATAATGGGCCTGCTAAAAGGCACTGAGAGGGTACATGGTTATATAGAAGGAACTTTGATGGTTGATAATGATCTACTGGTCCAAAGTTTCCATAGCTATAGGGACAGATGAAGTTTTAACAGGGCTTCTATGATTTAAATTAATGTATCAGATATGACATATCTTTTTGGACAAGCCATTGATTACTGGTGCTTAGTATAAACACGGCCCTTAATGGCTGTTAGCCTGTATTTTACTTTTTGCTTAGAGCCCACCAATTTTAATCTAGCCTAGGTCAAATGAGTAGTCAAATTTAAGTTAAAGTTCTCGTACCCCAAAAGAGAAGAAAACACACAGAGGTTTAAACTGGTTTTAAAATCAGGCAAGTTGAAAATGAAATCTTTACATTAAAAGGATTTAAATTCTGGGGTTTTTTTGGATAAAGCCCAAGACAAAACACCGTCACCTCATTGGCTCTGGGTGAAAAATGATGGAGGATATCTGCAAAAGAAAGATGTCATTAGTCTTAAATGAGGAGAAATCTGGGAGATGCAGTCTCTCCTTATACCTTTAGAAGCTGTTCTTTAGGAGTTGATGCATCAACTTTATTTGTTTGACCCCATGGCTCCATCTGGCTCCAATTCCATTTAACTTGAGCAGTCGCTCCTGAAAGGCTATAACTGACTAGCCATGTACCAGCAGTAATACAGAATCCAGGCAAAGTAAGTTCCTTGTTGATTATGGCATTAAATCGCTATTTAGATTTTATGCTCCCTGCAGCAAAACCTTGATCTGTAACAAGTCCTGTACATTTAGGGAGCGGTATTAAGTCATTCATACTGGCAAGGAACCCTGTCATACCTTTCAGATGAAAGCAGCTACTGAAGTGCAAAATACTGTTACACTAGAGAGAGCTGAAAAATACAGAAATAATTTTAAATAAAGGATTACATTGCTTTGGTTTTATGGGTTTGAAATGGACCCATTTTGTGCAAAATTTTCTACAATATTTGTAACTGAATGTCACTGCATGATTTAATGATAAAATTAAATTTCCTCAATCTAATTTTAAAACAAGGGTAATGTCATTTGTAGTCAAGAAATCTAAAAGCCTTTCAAAAAATTACAATATTGTAATATTTTGATGACACCGATATTGCTTCTTGCAGGAAGTTCAGTTTGAGAAGCCAGTTTCCCACAATAGACTGGCACAATCGCTTGGAACCAGCTGTTGTATTCATTATGCTGCTTCAGTTCTACCCTGCCTTGTAGTATAGTCTATCACAGTAATGTCTCTACTGTTTCTACATTTTTTTCCCCCTTTCAGTAATGCAGTATATCTGTAGAAATATGGTTTAAAGTAAAATACTACTTGTATATGTTTACTTCAATAAGCAAGAAACTGACAGCAGGAGTGTTGCTAGCCAGAACAGTTCTGGTTTTACAACTGTAAAACACTGGATAAAGTGCAGACAATCCGTTTACAACACATGATGAAAGCACTGTTTCAGGGGCAATGCCCTGTGTTAAATGCACTTGCTATTGGTCGTAACTTGCTTACCGTGAATATGCTTAATAATTCTTTTTTGTCAATACATCCGTTTCCATCAGCATCGTATAGCTTAAAATACCATTTCAATTTTTGGTCAATCTTCCCTCGTATAACCAAGTTTATTGCAGCTATGAACTCCAAGAAGTCTATAAATCCATCCTAAAAGAGACAGAGAAAAAACCCTATTTAATAACATTGGTTTTCTGTTCATTTTGGCAATTTCACTGAAACAGGTCATTGAATTCACTATAATACACACTGATTTATAAAGCATCTTAACATAGAAATCTCGTGTGGTGTTTACAAAGGATGCACTCAACTGGAAGCACTATAGGAAGGGGTGTTAACACAGACAGTTTTTTTCTGCCGTGAAAGCTGTGGGCAGTGGGGGTGGAGGGCGAATCTGTTCTAACAATTTTTATTAATATTTTTTGAGGAGAAGAGGAACAGTTTTGTGGTAGACTCGCAAAAATTCATGAAAAAGGGGAGTCTGGAATATTTGGTTGGTACTAATGAGATATCTGCAGTGGAGTTGCTTATATTCACATGGGTCCTGCAAACTATGGATGATTCCTAGTGCAACAGAGGTGTTCCAGGTGTTATTCATCTGCAACTTCAAGGTAGCAAGTGTTGCACATGGCAACCAGTAACCCGGCATGAACTCCAGGTACTGTGGTTTATCCATATAAATGTCAGGTTTCTCTGACTAATACATTTTGCAGGGAATATCAAGCCTTGAAAACTAGTTTCTAAATAGTGAGGATTGGGGGATATTCACAGGAAAAGAGCATTTCCGATTGATTTAAATCCATGTATTCTGCTTCCTTCTGTGAAGCTACTCATGGAAACCCGTCAAGGACAGGCCTCCATGGTCAGGTGGTCTAAGATGCTGTGACAGTTCCTCTGTTTCTGTGAAAATGTGGTGAAGATGGAAGAAACAGTTGCTGAATTTGGAGAGTATTTGCTCCAAATGTTTTTCATGTGCATATAAAAAGAATTATCAGATGATAAATTTAATCTGTGATTTTTACGTTGGTCAGAATCCAATTGCTTGGAAATCCTTGGACAGACTATCATCAGTTTCATGACCTGTGATTGAGACGGTTGGATGAATATCTAGTAGTTTAGGATGATTTTTATTTTTATTATCATGTATCAACACAGATCTTGCCAGGTAAAGTTTTGCAGTCAACAGGCATTAATCTGCCCTCGAGACTGGACTAGACCGAAGTAAAAGAAGTCCTGTAAAGGTGTGGTGCGACTCACTGTCGTACGTGTAGCACGTGTTTTGATTTCTACGCAAGGCTGTTTGGCAGTGTCACCTAAGAGGTAAATCCAGTGTTTCAAACACACTGGTTTTAATTTACTTGCAAAAATGGTGTGTGCATAATTTGTGCAGACTGACTGTTGTTTCATGGACTCTCTGCAGGTTCTGCTGTGGTTGCTGGATTTACGCCAGTTGCAGTCACAGCAAACTCAGCAAAGGCAAAGACACCATTCAACTGCTGTTTGGGATTAAATGAAATTTGGCAGTAACTGCATGTAATTTTCAAATAAGATTAGGCCTAGTATTAAAAGCAGATGCTTTAACAAAAAATGACACATGATGTGCCACAAACTTTATGCTTCTTTCTGGCACACCAGCTTGAATTTCAATTTCCAAGTATTATTTCAAGAAGCATCTCATCAAGTATTTTACTGGAGGCCAAGATTTGTTTTGTTGATTGTATTTCCATCATCTGATTCGATAGATCTATTAAGAATGTGGTTAGATGCATTTCACATTGCTGCTTTTTTATTGCATTTGATACTAGTTTTCGAAAATACAGATTAATTTTAGGTTTGCTGGATGTTCATGACCAGACTAATTTTCTTCTTTTTCCCTTACCTTTCCCTTTGGATTTTGGAAAATAGTATTTTGTTTGCTCTCTTTGTTTATCTTGGTGTCACTGTTGGTGCTCTGACAAAACATGAGAAGTTTGGACAATGTAATAATCAGCTTAATGTGTTTGAGTATGTAATTCTCATCTGGTGGATCATTTGGCCTGTTCCAAGCAGGAAAGGGACTGAAGACCAAGTTCAGGAAACTCCCACCTCTGAAAAACACCCGAGTGAAATGGTAGTTGCCAGTAAAGCCCCAGACACATTCTGTGGACATGCGAAGACCACTGGTGACATGTTAACCTCAGCAGCCAGTGCATCAGGAATAGAAATACTGAGAAGGCAGGCATTTATCTACATGGTGTGGAACCAGGAGCATCACATGAAAGGATTGTTGATAAATGTGCTGGTTTTCCTTTCTACACCAAAAAAGAAAAAAAAAAACATTGTAGGTAGAAAAGAAAACATTTGTGTGATGCAGAAGGCTATGCCGATCTTGTTACACATATCCAGAGCTTTCTCAGATAAAGAGAATTACTGTGCTTTCTATAGTGGCATCCAAGAGCCTCAGAATAGTGCATTAAATAATGAAAAAAAATGTAAAAGTAACCTATGAAGATCATCCTGTGGTACTGTGAGTACAACAAATAATACAATAAATGTGTTATGCTGTTATTAAAAGAATGCTGCCATGCTGATTTATCTATCTGCTGCTGCATAACCATTCACAATGCAAATATCTAGGTAGGTTCTTACACGTCTCCGGGCTCTGTAAAACTTCACTCTGTGCAGCACACACGGTAAAGTACCTGTTGCTTGTTAGGAAATCAGTAGTTCACAAGCAAAGGGCTATCACAAAAATAAAATAAAAAATAAAATA